TATATTCCTATAGCAGTAACTTAAAAATTAACTTTCATCTACAAATCTATCTTATACCTTCAAGAGTGTCTAACAACAACAAAAAAGTTTCTTTTAACACCAAAACATCTTACAATTTCCAAACCTGTGTATTACTGTCGGTTTCAGTCTCTCTGCTGAGAATGACCACTAGCAGAAGCAGAGCTCCTCTCAAACGCCAAAGTGCATATCATTATTGCTGTAGCTGTTAGGTGGCACTGAGCAAGTTACAACTCACCGCAACCCTATGCACAACAGAACAGAATAGCACAGGTCCTGCGCCGTCTTCATAACTGTTACCATGTTTGAGCCCATTGTGGCAGCCACGGTGTCACTCCATCTCATAAAAGGTCTTCCTCTTTTTCACTGCCCCTCCACTTTGCCACACATGCGTCCTTTCCAGGGACTGCTCCCTCTTAATATTATGTCCCAAGTATATGAGACAAAGTGCCGGCATCCTCACTTCCAAGGAATTCTGGCTATATTTCCTCTAAGACAGATATCTTTGTTCTTGTGGCAGTCTATGGTACTTTCAATTTTCGTCACCAGCCCAATAATTCAAATGCAATTGAATCGTCTTGTCTTTTTTATTCACTGTCAAGCTTTCACATGCATGAGTCCATTGAATATACACGGCTTGGGTCAGGGCCCACCTGTCCTCAAAGGGCCATCTTTGCTCATACACTTACTTTCAAGAGATCTTATGCAGCAGAGTGGCCCAGTCCAATACATCGTTTGGTTTCCTGACGGCTGCTTTCATGAGCACGATTGTAGATCCAAGTAAAATGAAATCCTTGACAACTTCAATCTTCTCCATTTATCATGATGTTGCTAAGGGGCTTGGTTGTGAGGGTTTGTGTTTTCTTTACACTGATTTGCAACCCACACTAAATGCTGCCGACCCTGATCTTCATCAGCACGTGTTTCCAGTCCTCCTCACTTGCAGTAGTCAAAGTGGTGTCACCTGCACATCACAGGTTGTTAATGAGCCTCCTCCACTCCTGACGCCGCACTCCTCTTCAGGTAGGCAAGCAGGAAATAATGTTATCAAGGAGGAATTGGCTGAGGACAACATGGCAAATACTGGTTCTTATGTGGTTGTACTATAAGGTTCCTTCTGATATATCAATGTTTCCACTGACTCAAAATTTTAATTTCTTCAAATGTGCAATGATTAATATTTTTATTAAAAATACTTTTATCAAAACAGTGAACTCACCCCATAAACAGCCTAATAAACATGACAGATTAAAAAAATATACAGTGGAAATGGTCTAAGTCTTGGTACTTGTACAGCTAGATGAATTTAAGAAATGTGCACTTTAACCAAATATACATATCTCCTCAATAAAAAGTAAAATTAAACAGATGTACTATAAATAAACTACTATCTTCAACATAAGGATATCACTGACTAAATTGTACTGACAGTAAATAAGGGCGAGTCAAAACTGACTCGATAGCAGTGAGATTTTTGGTTATCACTGTTCATAAGTAACAAATTTTTCTGATAGGTTTTATTTTTTTCTTGCCTTACTCCCAGAATGTGAACATAAAAGTATTTGTGGTCTTTAGCTGCATGTGCCCATGAATGTGGTGGCGCCTACAGGAGAAAATGTAATACAAACTATTTTTCTGCCCACTGCCATAGAGCCAATTCCAGCTCATGGTGCCCTTACAGAACAGAGGATTATGAGGGTTTTTCTTTACAGAACAGAGTAGAATTCATTGCTCCTTGGCCTTTCTGACTGTAAATCAATGTGTGAGTAGACAATTTCATCTTTCTACTATGGGAGTGGCTGGTGGATTTGAATCACCAACCTTGTAGTTAGCAGTCCAATACTTAACCCGTAACACCATCTTGAAACCTTAATAGAGCCAAAAAGTTTTAGGGAATGAGTCATAGTTCCTGAAGGCTCATGACCATGGTCTTAGGGGACTCCACAGTCAACTGGCCTAGCACACTTCACCAAAAACAATGGTCTTATAGCCTACTTTAGTGAATAACAATAAGGGTCTTACAAGCTCCCAAATGGCTGTCTTAGGTATAACTCCTGTCTCAACCCATCTGTGGAAAAGAGTAGTAGAAAAAATAATATGACATGGACACAATTAGTCCAACAGATTAAAGGGGCCGTGCAAACATCAGTCTCCACAACCATGAGACCAGAAGAATATAGTTGTGCCCATCCTAAGGTCTTGGATAGAATAAGAGAAAAATGTGAAACAAAATTCAAATCATAAAAAAGATCAGGTTTCCTAGTCAGATTGAGGCAGGTAGAACGCCTTGATTATGATATGGTAAGAATTCATCCTTGAGGCTCAATTTTCAGCCAAACAAGTCTATACAGAAAAGAGTAACACAAAGGAGGGCCACATACCTTATAAAAATCAGCCATTTAGATCAAAAGGACAGCATTTACCCAAGTACAAAATTCTGAAGGGTTGGGAAGGAAGGAAAAATGGAAATAGGAGAGACAGAGAGGAAATGACTGAGCATGCTACATTGAAGGAACTGCATTGAATGAGATGAAACAATATGTGTATATATATGGAAAACTGATCTGCTCTGTGAACCTTAACCTAATTCACAATAATGCTTTTAAAAAATAAAATTAATATGAAAACTATATTTGATTTGAGGATCATTTGGCTGAATCAGACATTTTCTCAAATTATCTAGCCACTCTGCTATATAATAAACAAATATAAATTGTAAAAATTACCAAAGTATAAAACCAGAGTTACAGTGCTCTTATTCAAACCAAATTCATTGCCTTTGAGTCAACTGCAACTCATAGCAACTCTACAAAGTAAAATAGAACTGCATCTGTAGGTTTCTGGCCTGGAACTCATCTTTCCCCCATCGAGTGGCTGATGGTTTTGAACTGCTGACTTTGTGGTTAGTAGTCTAACTAGTAATACACAAGCCATCAGGGTTCCTCTTGGGACTCTAACATTTATTATAAGGGGGGAAAAAAAAGTGAAGCTACCTGTAAACAAAACTTTAATATTAGCAGCAAAGTTTGATTCACACATTGATATCACTTTAATATTTGAAAAATAAGAAAATGGACCAAATTCCCTTTACTTTAGGCTATAAAGAACTCCTGCAAGCATCATGAATTTTAATTGTACACATGTATATATAATATGTAAATGATTTTGTATGCATACCCTCTAAAATAAAGGGAAATGAAGTTCATTTAAAGCTAATAATTTCTTCATAGATTATTTTCATGATTAATTAATAATTAAATACTCTAACAAAGTTACGAGCACATACTTGGATAGAAAGTAAAATCTATGGGTAAAATTGTAGCCCAGGAATAAATTAATGATCAACTTCTTGAACTAAGACTGTATATATCCAACCAGCACACTTTCTATTCAACTGACTAAATAATGTCTTGAGAGGGCTATATTTAGAAAAAAAATTATCCACTAAGTAAAATTATTCTAAAATTAGGGTGCCAATTTAGCAAGGTGCTTACCAGCACATACTCTGAAATCAGAGTAAACTGAAGTCTAAGCTATACCATCCACTGTGACAAACTTTCTGCACCTCCAATTTCTTTTCTTATAAATATAACAGCTATGACTATAGGAATAAAAAAACAATGCTTATACAGTATGGAATATGGAGCATCCCATACCTAGTATACACAAAAGCACATAGCAACAACAACAAAAAAGACTGTAATATTTATTATCAACAGAACACAAACATAAAAGGAATCAATACAGTACGTCTGTGAATTTAATCAAAACATTTTCCTTTGAGATCTTTTTCTTCTTTTTTCTTGGTCTCTGTCGCTTTACATGTTTTCACTACTTCAAAAATAAATCTAGCTTTATTGGAAAATTAGCGCAAAAGATGTTCTATCAACAACTCAAACAGAACAAATAAAAACATACCACCACCTGTTATTTCATCAAACATAAAAATCTTTATCAAAAAAGATTTACCTATTTAGGACAATCATAAAAACATTTTTGCATAAATATTGCCTATCTAGCTTCTAGCTTTGAGGAGAACTTAAGGAAAGGAGAAAACAGTATTATGACAAATCTAAACATTAAATGCAATGAGTTTTCAGTTAGCCAAATAATAACTTACAAGTACAACCACTATCTTCTCTCTAGGTCTTACATATTCGTCAGCTAAACGCTGACTAGTTTGCTCACCTGATCTGTGGATCTGCCCATCTTGGCCCAGCCAAGACAGAGACTGCCGTGTACTCCACAGGGTCATATTCACGCCATTCAACAAGCCACCCTACTTTCTCATTAGGAACTTTGGTTCGTTCAACTTTTGATCCTGGGTAAGGAGACGTCCGAGCTTTGTTGTGAGAATTCTCTTTGGCATCATTAGAATCTGACATAGTGATGGAATTAACATGAAACCAACTAGATAAAAATGAGTTCCTGAGGAAAAGAGAAGGAAATGTTTTCTATTAAGAAACATGGCAAAAACAAAAAACAGTAAACGTAGTTCAAAAAAACTCCACTGACATCAAGTTGACTACAACTCAGAGCAAGTGAGAATGTCAATCTTTATAGAAGCATGGAGCCTCTTTCTTTCAAGGAGTGACTAGCAGGTTTTATATGGAAACGTAGTTAGCAGTCCAATGCTCACAGTGTCACCAAGGTTTCAAACACCAAAACCAAACTCACTGCCCTTGATTCCGACTCTTATGAGGGCTTCAAAGGATCCAAAAACATTTTTCAAAGACTTAATTTGATGCATATGTACGTAAGGATTCAAAGTCAGTGAAAAACTATTTTCAAATATAAAAATTTTCTACATATACTTCAATCTTATTTATTGGAATCTACTCACTAAATTTATTTTAATTTAGAAAAAGGGGCAGAATTTTTTTTGTGTTAACTGCTGGGATGGGAAAATTTGTTATGGGATTCAACCACACACACACAAAAAGTGCAAAAGGAGACTGTCTAAGTCTCCATAAAGGAATATATTGCTAAAAACACTCATTGATTTCTACTTCAGGCCACTGCAGAGTTCATAGCTCAAGATTAGTCCATCCTCATAAACAATGATAAAACTGAACAGCATATATAAAATTGCTGTTTTCAGATAGCAAACAAGAGACACCACTGCCCCAGAAGAAGGAAACAAATTAGTTAAGTACTGATTATCTGACTTTTTCCTAAAGCCACTTTCTGGAAAGTGGTGATAAAAACAGTCCTAGTATTCTTGCTAAGCTAAAGAGCTAGCGATCAATGGCTCAATGGTTGCCCTGGTAGCTGTTTTTAGAACTGCTGAAACAAAGGCAGTGTTTGCAGACCTAAGAAAAAGAAACAATAAAAAGAATGGCCGGTGTACATTTGTTTCCTAGAATTTTTCAGTTTGGGGTCAAATAGTAGTTCCACACACAGAAGACCCAATTTCATGAAACTGAAATATTTGTTTACAAATAACTATTGATAAAAAAATAAAAAAAAAAACCAGGTACCAGGACAGCCACTGAGCTAAACAACTACTGGAGCTTACATAAGAATGAGACATTGGATATCTGACCAACAAGACTGGACAAACCTATTAACTACTTTAGAGGGAGGGCTAACTAACACTAAAGAAAAAGTTACTCAAGACCCAACCTAAGAAAGCTTCTTAAAAACGAGCCTCAAAAGGATCAAACCGAACTTAATTGCCACAAGTAAATTAACAAAATATCAAGACTCCAGGAATTGATGGACTACCAATTGAAATCTTTCAACAAGCTGATGCAACACGAGAAGCACTCCCTTTTCTATGCCAGATTTGGAAGACAGCTACTTAAGTCAACTGACTAGAAGAGATCCATATTTGTACCCATTCCACAGAAAGATGACCCAAGAGAATGTTCAAAGTATAGAATACCACCACTGATATCGCACGCAAGTAAAATTCTGTTGAAGATCATGCAACAATAGTTGCAACAGTACACTGACAGGGAGCTGCAAGAGGTTCAGGCCAGCCTTAAAAGAGGACATGGAGCAAGGGAAATCATTGCTGACGTCCAACGGATCTTGTATGAAAGCAGAGAATACCAGAAAGATGTTTACCTGTGTTTTATGGGCTATGCCAGGGCATTCGACTATGTGAATCATAACAAACTATGCAAAACCTTAAGAGTGGCAATTCCAGAATACTTCATTGTCCTCATTCAGACCTTGTACACATATCAAAAGGCAGTTATGCAAACAAAACAAGGGAATATTGAATGGTTTAAAATCAGGGAAGGTGGGCAACAGGGTTATATCCTCTCATACTTATTCAATCTGTTTGCTGAGTAGTCTGAAAAGCTGGTTTGTATGAAGAATGTAGCATCAAGATTGAAGAAAGGTTTATTAACAATCTGAGATATGAAAGCAAAGAGGACGTGAAGCAACTTCTGATGAAGATTTAAAATATAAAATACCAGTTACTCAAGACATAGTTGCTAACTTCACTTTTCTTCCAACCCAGTCAAAAACATCATGTTGTCATGACTTGAAGAAAACACATTTATTCTTTCAACCCTCAAATCCCACTGAAAGTAAAGATGTACAAAAGGTAACAAAGCCATGGCAGAAAAGACAGCACAGGACACCGCTGTGAAAGAGAAATTTTAAACAATTTCAGAGAATTGGAAGTTGGATAGAGTCATGTTGCTCTACAAACCACGAGAACAGAAAAACTTAAAAACATGCACAAACAGCTATACAAGCGTGCACTTTCACTGAGAAGCCCTGAGAAGTTTCACGCCTAATTTAGTCAGTTATAAGTGGGGCTGTAAGGCAGTAACTGTGAAAATTACTCAGTCCTTCTTCCTCCACACCGTCCAAAAGCAAAGTTGTCAGTAACTACATTTACCTCCTAGAACAAAGTCCAACGTTTATTCTCAGAGGAACTGAAGAACGTCCATTCAAAATCTTAGATTATAGAACATAGCAGAAACTCGGCTTACAACTACAGTTGACACCGAGGAAATAAAGTTAAGGCAGCTAAGTTCACTTGTAAACAGTTCCACAGCTGTTCCATCCTTGTGTAAAGGTAGAGCTACCTGCTCATACACCATCCACTGTAACCTCCCAGTACACTGACCTCATATTCAGAATCAACAATCCTATGTAGGGGAAAAAATGCTTATGCCTATATTAATCAAACTTTAAATGGCAACCAATTTCCTTCATATGTTTGAGAAACAGAGAAGGGAAAAAGACTCAAAAAACAACAGAACCACTGACCTAAAACAGGTAACTCAGGAAATAAAACGAACAAAAACTCACTGCCAGCAAGTCAATTTCAACTCACAGTGAAGCTATACAGGAAATAGAAGTGATAAATTTTATTCAACTAACACCCGTACAGGTTCAAAATACCTTTTATATTCACAATTCAAGGATAAGACAAAAAGTATTGCTACTAGGGCTCTAATTCATACATGTACAAGTTTATTCCAAATAAATCATGTTTACACATGTCTCTGTAATCAGTAGATGGCTGTAGCCAAGTTCTCTCAGCAATATACTTGTCATAGTTTTGCAAAAAGAGAATAAAAGTCCAAACAAAACAGTGGCTTCGGAAGGAATTTACTTGGCCAGTTAAATTCAAGACAGAGGTCAGTTCAAAAGATTGTGGTGACTGTTTTTTGCTTTTGCAATCCCAAAGGTGTCATCTTGATAACTTTCTCAGAGGGCAAAGAGCAATCACAAAGGCTTATTATGATGAAATTTTAAGAAAACTGAAAACTGCATTCCTGAGAAAAGGGTCAGGAAAATTAGATTAAGAATCGTTTTCCATCACAACAATGCACCTGCTCATTCTTCAAAGGTAGCAAGGGCTGTACTATGAGAATTTAAAGGGCCTTAATCTTGGCCCTACAAAGAACTCCAAAAATGCCTAAAAGAAGCATGATTCGAGTCTCTGAAGGACGCTAAAACAAACACTTTGATGTGATGTAAATCAAAGAGCCCAAATTCTTTGGAGACGCGTCAGAGAGATGAAGACCTACCTTCAGAAGTCTATAGACCTAGAAGGCAGGGTAGAACTGGCCTGGTGAGTTTCCTAGACTATAACTCTTTATGAGAGTAAAGAGCTGGCTGGTGGTTTCAAACTGCTGATCTTGGGGTTGGCAGCCCAATCCATAACCACTCCACAACCAGGGCTCCTACAATACTATATCTGGCAGGGTAATCCAACTCCTTAGGGTTTCTGAAATGATAAATCTTTATGGGAGCAGAGGTCTCTACTATTTTGTTTCAATACTTTTTGATTTACCCTTTTTGGTATCAAAAAGAAGAATCAGAGTAAAAAGGGTCTTTTAACTTTTTAAAATTTTTAATTCAATGAAAGAAATGATAATGGAATGCACTGGTCTGAATTTGTAATATAGCAGATAAAAATAAAGGGAAATCTCTAAAAACTAGTAAAAAGGGAAAATGAAATGGGTAATGAGAAAACAGCTCTATCCAAAGGAGCTCTATCAAAGGTCCAACGGCTAACAAGATTTTGAGAAAATGAGGACACGGAGACACACACACACACACACACACACGAATATTGAAGTGCACCAAAAGTAAAGATGAGAGGCCAAGAAAATATTTGTTCCTATAGGCAGCCTCCTAGAATCTAGCCTATACTTAAAAACAAGAGAATGGCACAAAAAATTAAAACTGGAGAAGGGTAAAGGCAGTGTGATAAGCTACAAATCAGTAAGGCTACAGTCTTGGCAAGGTGAGAAAAAGAGGTACAAGCACCTATCTTCTCTGGAAAATTGAATAGCAGCATTTACTTTCCAGTTTACGCCATTGGCACATCCATATATAAGTATGTCCATGTTTAAATTGTAATTAGAAATGGTTGAAATATTAGCTAAAAAGAAGAAATGAAACGGGGATTTCACACCCAAACAGAAACTATTTAAACGCTCAGGGGCCAATAATGCTGGTGGCCTATGGAGCACAAATTTCACTATTAGAAATCAAGAAATGTACTCCTTACTCAAAAACGTACTGCCACAGAGTGGATATGGTCTCATAACGACCCTACAGGACAGAGTGGAACCCTTTGGGTTTCCGAGGAAGCAGAAAGCCTCTTCTTTCTAACGCGGAGCGGCAGCTGGCGGGTTCCAATGGCTGACCTTGTGGTTAGCAACTCCATGCACACCCCATCACACTATCAGGGTTCTAACTTCCCTCAAACGGCCGGCAAACATTTAGGTTCCCCAAAATGTGTTTATAGCTATTAAATTCGGAACGCAAGCAAAGCCTCAAGACCGGTCTTCCGGAAGCTAGTTCCCACTAACTCCAAGGTCTCCGGATGAGGGGCCGGCCCTCGGAAGAGGAATACCTGTATGCCGGGATGCTGCGGCTGCCCAAGAACCAGACACCCACAGAGGCCAAGGCCACAGAGACAGACACAGTAGCTAAAGTCTTTCCCAGGATGCGTCTGGCCATCAGCAGCCAAGGACCGCTTCGCCGGCTAGGCCGCTCTTAATTCGGGCTGCAGGCGCGGCCCGCCTCAGTCCTGGGTGCCGAGCATTTATCGGGCACTAGGACCCGGCCGCCCTCTCGTTTCTGAGAGGGATTTGCAACGTTTAGCTCGTGAATAAACTCAAGCTCAGCTTGTCTTCCAGTGCGACTGAGGGAATTAAGACCACCGAATGACGCCGACAGGCCTGCGCTAACGGGCAGGGACGCAGTCACCCAAGTGCTGTCACGTCACCGGGGCTTAATGGGCGCTTTGCGGCCGCGCCGCGACACGCCGTAAAGGCTGGGCGGGATCCGCCTTCCCCACGAGCTTCTAGAGATACGCCGTTGCGCATGCGTACCGGTAGGAGCGCATGCGTTGAAGCGGAGGAAAATGGGAAAGAATCCTAAA